AACCCTGGCCTGTGGTTGTGGGGGTCTGCAGACAGGGGGCTTATTGGAATCTGCAAGTCTTAAATATGTGACATCATGCGTGAGGCCCCACCTTCTTGTGACATCATTGACCCAGTATTGACCACCAGCCAGGGTTGTGGGGAAGAGGCCCTTGTCCCCATCAACATGGGGACAAGGTACTGAGGGGGGAGAGCCCCCTCTGCCCCAAAGCACACCCCATGTTGAGGGCATGTGGCCTGGTATGGTTCGGGGGGGGCGCTCCCTCATCCCCCCTTTCCTGACCTGCCTGCCGGGTTGCATACTCGGATAAGGGTCTGGTATGAATGGAGGAGGGGGCCCCATGCCGTTTTTTAAATTATTTTTTTAATTTCCAGCAATTCTTTCTTTTACATTCAGCGGTCAGTGCGGAACCCTGCTCACAGCTGAAACATTAACGCATGGTTTTCACTACTAAAATACTGCATGACTTGATAAGATAACTCATGCGGTATTTTAGTAGTGTTTTTTTAATTAAAAAGTTTTATTCAAAAAATACTATGCGGTATCCTACCATATCCTCGGATGTGGTAAGATACTGCTTAGTGAATTGCACCTAGTGAGCCTCTCTCCGGGCCCCCTACTGGCCCTCAGGCAATGCCCGAATGGTCAGACTGCCCCTGGTCCTAACCCACTTCATGCGCTAAGGTGACAGCACTGCTCTTTTGTAGATACAGTACAGTAAGTAAGCATTGTCATCCTAGGATAGGAGGTGGGTTACTAGTTTGATCACCAGGTGAAATGACAAAAAAGAAAATAATTTATACAACCACATCCAAGGACTGGTAAGCTGCAATATATAATATTTTGTTGTGTTTGAATTTAGGTACACTTCAACCACATCCTTACTGCGCTATAGCCGAATGATGTCTACAGCGCGGTTGTCCAGTTCTGGGAGGGTGTGATATGATGTCCTTCAAAAACGTGCCTCCTCTCGCGTGCCCCCAGAGGTGCATGCCTGGCGATCTCCATGATCACTGTGTCCTAAGGACACAGCTGATCAAATGATGAAGTAAAAGGCCAATCACAGCGGTCTTTTACCATGTGATCAGCGGTGTCCAATGACACAGCACATCACAGAGTAAATACAGTTGCCAGTTATCAAAAGCAGGAAAAGTACTGCTAATATCCGGCAGCTGTCACAGAGCAGATCGGCACTGATCATCAGGGCACTGGTGATAAGTGCCCTGCAGTGCAGCCCAGCAGTGCCACCCACCAGTGCCGCCCAGCAGTTGTGCCCAACAGTGCCCAGCAGTGTCACCCATCAGTACCCATCAGTGCTGCCCAGCAGTACTGCCAGACAGTGCCATCAGTCAGTGCTGTCAGTCAGCGCCGCCTGTCAGTGTCACCCATCAGTGCTGCCTATCAGTGCCCCTCAGTGCTGCCTATCAGTGCCCATCAGTGCTGCCTATCAGTGCAGCCTCATCAATGCACATTAGTGAAGGAGAAAAATAACCTGTTTGCAAAATGTTATAAAAATCTTTATAATAATAATAACTTTTTTCTGCTCTTTTTTTGTTTATAGTGCAAAAAATAAAACACCCAGTGGCAATTAAATACCACCAAAAGAAAGCTCTATTTGTGTGAAACAAAATTATAAAAATCTCATATGGGTACAGTGTTGCATGACTGCACAATTGTCATTCAAAGCGCGACAGTGCTAAAAGCTGAAAATTGGCCTGGGCATGAAGAGGTTAAAGTACCCGGTAGGCAAGTGGTTAATTTACAGTTGAAGAAAACCTTCTTATTTTAATTAGTTTATACCTTGTCCTTGAGGTGGCAATATGTCATAAAGTTGGACCTTTTAGGCTCAGCACAGGTCAAAACCATATTGCCACACAACAAAAAGATACAATACATTGAAAAATACTGAGAAATGTTGTTTTATCCTGTATAGACTTTAAAGGCCCTTCACACTTTGGTGCTCTGCTGTAATGCATTGTGTTTTGGGAACCCTTTCAAATGAATTGACAGCCAACACACCAGATTGAAAAAAAAAATGGACATACAACCTTTTTAAGCAGCACACTACAATTTATTGCAGTGCATTGTGGAGCACTACATCACAGCAGTGCATTAGGTTAGTGCATTGGGGTGCTATTGACCAGAGGCATAACTAGAACCTTCAGGGACCCAATACAAGAAACCATGAAGGGCCCTGACCTCTGGTGTCGGGGCTCTTTTGCCCCAAGCCTGGGTCTCTTTCCACTGATCCCAGGGCCCTTTACTTCATTGCGGGGCCCTTTATATTGGTTCTGCAGTGAGATCCTTTCACATGTTCTGCAGCAGGCCCCCTTCCTGCCATCTTGGGTAGGGATGCTACCTTTTCTTCCAGCCAGTCTCAAACACTTTAGCAGCACACACCAATTTTTTTTTTCATAATATACATTATACATATATTTTTTAATTAAATAACATTCTACATTGGAATCCACAGAGTTCCCCTTTACATTTGATCTCGCAGAGTTCCCCTTTACATTTGATCTCGCAGAGTTCCCCTTTACATTTGATCTCACAGAGTTCCCCTTTACATTTGATCTCGCAGAGTTCCCCTTTACATTTGATCTCGCAGTGTTCCCTTACACTGTAAGAGTGGACTCTGCAGAATTTGATGTAAGGAAGAACTCTGGAGACTGATTTAAGGAGGAAAATTGAGAACTCTGATGTAAGTAGGGGAATCTAATTTAAGGGGCAACACTGAAGACTCTGGTGTAAAGGGCAACTCTGATATAAGGGGGCCTCTAGTAACTAGAGCCCCAACATACATCATAGTTCCCAGCATTCCCCTTTAATCATGGTTTCCAGAGCCTCCCTTACATCAGAATCTGCAGAGCCCCCCTTACATAAGTCTGCAGAGCCCCCTTACATCAGAGTCTGTGGAGCCCCCCTTACATAGGAGTCTGCAGAGCCTCCTTATGTCAGAGTCCACAGAGCCCCCCACCCCCACTTACATAAGAGTGTGCAGAGCCACCGTTATATCAGAGTTCCTCCTTACATCAGAGTTCACAGAGCTACCCCATTACATCAGAGTCCACAGAGCCCTCCTTTTACATCAGAGTCCAGAGAGTCCTCTTACATCAGAGTCCACAGTACTCCTCTTACATCAGAGTCCACAGAGCTCCCCTTACATCAGAATCCACAGAGCCCCCCCATTACAACAGAGAGCCCACAGAACCCCCCCCCCCCCTCCACTTATATCAGAGTCCACAGAGCACCCCGCTTACACCAGAACCCACAGAGCCCCCATATACCAAAGTCCCCCTCCCTTTACATCAGAGTCCACAGAGCCCCCCTCCATTACATCGGAGGCCACAGACCCCCCCCCCCCCCCATCCATTACATCATAGTCCACTGACCCCCCCCCCCCCCCCCTTACATCAGAGTCTGCAGAATTTCACTGTAAGAGGGAGATCTGTGGACTCTAATGTAAAGGGGAACTCTCTACTCACCCATGCCCACCCTTACATCAGAGTTCACACAGCACCCCTTACATTAGTGTAAGAGGCAGGAGAGAGAAGTGAGGGGGGACACTTAAGTCATTCACCCCGGGAAGGAAGGAGGCTCATGCAGTCTGCCTCCAGATCTAGTTGCTGGATGTTGTTCTTTCCTGCCCACTCATCCCCTTTCTGACCACAGTGCTTCTTTGGATTGGAGTGTGGACAGGGCCATGTGCAGACATGGGAGGAGGATCAGATCCAGCTCTCTTTCTCTTCTCTACCAATTGGTGCGAGGCACAGGGGTGGGGAGTCGGTCTGTAAGTTCTGTGGCTGAGCAGTGTAACAGACACTCTCCTTACAACTGCAGCCAGCCACCCTGCCATGGAGCCATAGTCTGGACTCTCAGAGCCCCTCCACAGTGGTGGATCTCCAGGACCCAGACGCATGTGGGACCTTTGTGACCCTGGTAGTTCTGCCACTGCTATTGACATTCAATGGCACTGCAGCATGCTTACTAAGCTAACCCTGCACTGGAGAGGTGTAAATGGGCCCTAATGCAGAAGTAGACAGCTGATAAATAGAGGGATGTAGCAATGATTTTGAATCACATAAGCTTATGGACCCAAGAGCTTTTCCATCGGCTGCTCTTAAATTGATGTTTGGAGCATTTTGGAAGTAAAATAAATTAGCTGGAAAGGCAATCTAATTGGCTAAAAAGGTATCAGTTTCCAGCTTTAAGAGAAACATTAAAAAAAAAAAAAAAAAAAGCTGCAACAATGGATATAACTACATATGGCAACTAGTTAATAAAACCTGGAAGAAAGAAAAGCAACTTTGCCTAATACTGTATATCAAGTTTAACTCAATAAAGTTTCATGTAGAATCTATAATCAGAGAACAACATTTATATAAAAAGTTATACTTTTTATCAAGGGAAACTGTGTATACACAGACAATAATATATTCAAATGAAAGAACTGTCAAAGTAGCATTTGTTTGATATAATTCTACACCTCTGAATGCATCTGATGGTCTTCTCACATTTTGGCAAGTCTCACAAGTGTTTGAAGATTTCAGGATGCAACAATTTAGCTAGATCAGCTCCCTCTACTGTGAAATCATTTTTTGACCAGAGAAATGTCAAAATGACAGTTTGGGGACCAAAAATTCCCAATTCCTTTGTAAAAGTTCACCCAATAAAGATGTTGTTTTACCCTGCTTGTATTCTGTTGTGTGACACGGGTGTTTTTGATCTTCTGGAGAAATATGCTGCTCATGGCAATTATGTTTTTCATTGAGAGTTAAGGAACATGATAACAATGATTGTAGGATATTCTAAATTGTTATCCATGTGTTACTGAGATTGGGGCTGAATTTACAGCACTGGGTAGACACAGCCCTTAGTACCTAATATTTGTCATATTTACCATTCATGGCATGCTTAGCAAGTTGGTTCATTTTGGCACTGACATCTTAGCTATACCTAAATAAAACCTAACCTAGCTCCTAACATAATATCTAACTTTACACTCTCACCTAACCTAATGCTCAAAGTTCAGCTGATGAGGAAGTCCAGCTCTGAGGAAGATGCAAGTCCTCGAAACAAGCCAGCCATTTGGAGGTCTAGGAGTCCCATTACAGATATCATCCAGTGTGACTGGACCTTGCTGTACTTGACATGATGTGCCCAGGAGCAGACTGACCATTTGGAAACTCGGGCACTGCCCGGGGGCCCGGGGTCAATAGGGGGCTCCATGAGATGCCCCTGGTACCTTTTTCATAGACTTTTTTGAGTTTGGGCAAGGACACAGGGGCCCCATGATCCCCTATTGCCCGGGGGCCCCATGAGTTATCAGTCCGCCCCTGGATGTGCCCTTGATATTTGTACCTTTGTGAGTATATTACCACTTTTTTACATAATAAACTATCTTTTCATGTTTGTTTCTTTGCATGCAGTACTCTGGATCCTCCTGGTCCATTGAGGGCAGCAAGGTGTGCAGCTTCTAGGCATCCTACTTGTGGTTCTAACCTCTGTGGAGTCCATCCTCCAGTGCAGGAGTATATGCGTATGCCATTCTTTGTCTGACTCCGTTTTGTATCTGTGCTGGATCTCCGTCTTTACAGCTGAACATACACTTTAAGTGTTTTATTAGGTGTTACATAGTTACATAGTTAATCTGGTTGTAAAAAGATGCAAGTCCATCCAATTCAACCAACATTAAAAAGGAAACACAATCACACAACACACACACACATGCACACAAACAGATATAAAGTCTGCAAATACACTATCCTATTCCCACAGTTGATCCAGAGGAAGGCAAGAAAAACCCCAATAAAGTATGTTCAAATTTGTTCCAGCTGGGGAGAAAATTCCTTCCTGATCCCCAAAGAGGCAATATGATATTGCCTGGATCAACTTTACCTATAAAATTAGTATTATATTATGTGCATTTAGGAAAGAATCCATGTATTCTAATCAGCTGGCCAGAACCAGCTCTTAAGGGAGTTTATTTCACATTTTAACAGCTCTTACTGTGAAGAAGCCTTTCCGTATATGGAAATGAATGTGTTTTTAAACCCAGGACCCCGAATTCACTCTATCTGCTCTCCAACAGTACACAGAACATGGAAGTGCAATTAGTTTAGTAAATAAACTGCTAAATACCTTTTCTCATCAGCAGTCAGAGCAGTCTTGTGACTTCCATCAATGTCCAGCCAAGCACTGATTAAAGCTTTATAGGAGGAGTTTGTATTTTGCTCTAGGAGGATGCAGAACCCCTGACCTCTGTCTGGACAGCGCTGATTGGCCCTGTGCTGATCACATGCACTCTCCATAAATAAAAAACTATCTAGCAGTACAAACCAAACTCAGCATGTGCAGAGTGACTCCACTTGATATTTCTTAACAGGACATAAAAGGGGGACACTGGAAGAAGGGGAGGATCAGAGAATTCAAGATCAAACTGCGTTTTTAGACAATGCAGAGGATTAACCTCTTAGGTTCTACAGTGAGTATAACAAGCATGTTCAATACAGATTGATTTTAATGTTGTGGGTTTAGTAACACATTAAGTCTATTTTCTTCCTGCTATGGCCATTTAAACTCCAGCTGTGTCATGTCTGGTCATTCATGGTAGTGGGGGGGGGGGGGGGGGGGTTGGGTCAGGCAGTGTGGTCAAGGCATCTTTTATACCCTAGTCAAGCACTTTTTAAACTTGTTATCGGTGTTTCTTGCTGCTGGGATTATGGTGCCAAAAATCGATACACCACATATATTGGAAAAACATTATCTTACCAAAGTCTTGGTCCTCCAAAGAGTGAAAATAATTTGTTCCTCCATATCCTGTCTTCTTTTGTTCATCTATTTATTAGCTCCTTTTTTCTTTACCACTATTTCTACTATGAAAATGATTGTTATTTTTCTGACACAGAGTCATAAGGTTGAATAAAGGGGTTTATTCATACCAGAAGCAATTCTAGGTTGTTTTTGTGTTTTCTGATAAAGGCAACCCACATGGTATCTTTATTGTCTGCTTATTTAGGAAGCTCCTTTTCCTACCAGTGTAATGTATGGCAGTGTGTTTTCAAAATATACTGCACGCTGCAGTTTTTGATGTGTTGACCTGTACTAACATTACTAGGCCATTATATTGGTGCAATATGCTGCTGCTCCCATAATATATCAGACAAATGTACACACATACTCTAATATAATCTTTTTTGTGTTTAAAAACATAAATTTTTAGGAAAGCTAAATGTTGGGTGGAGGCAAAAGTGATGTCAGCTGCTCGCCTACCCTTCTGAGTTCCTAAATTCACCTACTAATTTTACTGAGGTATAATCCCAGATTTTTTTACACAAATGTGAGATGAGAAAAGGGTTGTTATTCCATTTACAGACTAATGGCTGCAGTAGAAAGAGACAGCAAAGGCCTGAATAATGGGACAGTTTAGGGACTGTAGGTGATAGATGTCTCATTAAGTTGTAGTTAGAGGTGAACTTAGATTTTTCATAAATGTCACCTTCCTTCAGATTTTTCATCGAAATGTGTTTCTCAAGACAATAATATAGAAAATGGGCAGGGACTGCTAATCTTTAAACACCTTCAAATCATAGCAGATGTCGGTTCTTAAAGTTTATTTCCACTTTTGCAGTCAAATTCAGATAACAACGACTTTATATTTGTTACATGTTCTCATTAGCATAGCATTACTTTTGCTACTTACAATTTACTTGCTCTTTCCTGAAAACTCCAAAACAAAAGTTTTCCTCTGCTAGGCAGAAGGATTTGAGGAGATAATGTTTACCATAATTAACCTCTTCCATATCGGGCACTTTTACCCCCTTCCTGCACAGGCCAATTTTCAGGTTTCAGCTCTCTCACACTTTGAATGACAATTGCGCGGTCATACAACATTGTACCCAAACTAAAATTTTACCATTTTCTTCATACAACTAGAGCTTTCTTTTGTTGGTGTTTAATCACCGCTGGGGTTTGTATTTTGAAAAAAAATATATTTTTAAAATTTTGAAAAAAAAACACGTTTTTGTTATAAAAGTTTGCAAATAAATGCAAAGGAATAGTGGCCCATCATTGGTATCAGTGGGAAGAATAGTGCTTCATCATTGGTATCAGTGGAAGGAATAGTGCCCCATCATTAGTATCAGTGGAAGGAATAGTGCCCATCATTGGTATCAGTGGGAGGAATAGTCATCATTGTATCAGTGGGAGGAGGTAACAGTAAGGATGCCCCATCATTGGTATCAGTGGGAGGAATAGTGTCCCATCATTGGTATCAGTGGGAGGAATAGTGCCCCATCATTGGTATCAGGGGAGGATCCCATCATTGGTATCAGTGGGAGGAATAGTGCCCATCAATTATTAGTAACAGTGGGAGGAATAGTATCAGTGGGAGGAATAGTGCCCCATCATTGGTATCAGTGGGAGGAATAGTGCCCAATGTAACAGTGGGAGGAATAGTGCCCCAGCATTGGTATCAGTCATTGGTATCAGCGGGAGGAATAGTGCTCCATCATTGGTATCAGTGGGAGGAATAGTGCCCAATTATTAGTAACAGTGGGAGGAATAGTGCTCCATCATTGGTATCAGTGGAAGGAATAGTGCTCCATCATTGGTATCAGTGGAAGAAATAGTGTTCCATCATTAGTATTTGTGGAAAGAATAGTGCCCCATTATTAGTATCAGTGGGAGGAAGAGTGCCCCATCATTGGTGTCAGTGGGAGAAATAGTGCACCATTGTTTGTGTCAGTGAGAGGTACTATGTCTCACTGTTGTTGTCAGTGGAAGGGTAGTGCCAGTGGGAGGAATAGAGCTTTGCATCCTTGAGAGTAACAGTGCCCCAGGTGCCAGATAAAGGCAGGCAAAAGGCCACATATGGCCCTAGGGCTGCAGGTTGGAGACCACTGATCTAGGAGCTGTCCTTCCACCTGGTATGTTAATGAGTGAATTCAGTGTGTCCCTCTTTGTTAGTGGGGAAAGAGGTTCCTCTCATTCTCAAATGTTCAAAGTAGCATGCATTGAGGCTGCCCCAAACAAGCACGTAGAAATATTGTTCTTTTTATAATTTTTTTTAGGAATGCTTTGTGAATGGGAACACATAACAAAAATACAGAACCGTGTTTTTTTTTTTAATTTGACTGCAAAAATGGAAATACACTTTAAAGTAAACCAGACTGAGAGTAATATGAAATACATAGGTAGAAGTATCATTCAGCGATATAGGCAGCAGAATTCAAAGCTACCCTATTGATCTTTTAATGATATTGGTGCCGTATTGTCCAATAGGGAAAAAGGCAAGATTTGAATATAATTTTAGCTGGCTATACCAATGGATCTACTGATCTACTGTGTAATGCATATTACACAATGAGTGGGAAAGCTAAAGTTGGGAGAGACATCATCCGTTTAGAGAACTCTAAATAGTCTAATGGCAGCCATAAAGGACAGCATTGTAAATAGTCTACAATCCCATCTACTGCATCCAGTTAGCTCCCGCATGGTTCTGTATAGTATACAGAGTACTGTTCTGCCTTATTCCTATACTCCATTCCCATACCGGCAGGCATACTGTACACAATAGAGTATTTGAATATTGATCTGCCAATTACACTTTTGCTGACATTTTTTTTCTGTATGTTTATTGGAATTTTGATTATTTTGATGGATTAAAGGAATTTATTGCATGGCAGGCCCCATGATTCACAGCTATAGCATGCAGTCAGAACCAAATGTATGCCTATGGAACACAGCTATAGTAGTTACCATCATTTTCAATGAAAAACAATTGTTTAAATTATGTGAATATTAAATTGCATATGCATGGACTAAGATAAAACATGACATAAATGGAGAACCCTCTGTATAGCAGATAGATTGCATGCAACTGATCCAAACACAGTTGACTAGAGCCAGTTAAATTTCTACTTTGTAGTTGTGCCTGAATATTCATCTTGTGTATTTCTTAATTACCTGTAATGAAATCAAATAATGTATGTTAAAGAGATTTACTGTTATTTAGTTTCCATTTTCCCCATTCTATATAGGACAGCATTGTTATGTTAATTATTTTACCACCCACCAATCCCAGTATGCCATCTATTTGACAGTCAAGCAAAACAGCCACTCCACAGGGTTCTCCTAATTAATTAGGAATGTGCTTCAATGTAACAAGGAAACACCTTTAGCATCTTTTTAATGCAACAGAGGGAATATTCAACACTGAGTTATGCACTTTCCCTGAAATTTATTGTAAGAGTCACCCCATTTCCCTACATGTGTAGGGAATGGGAATAAGCAGTGTACATAAAATATTGTTAAGGCTGGAAATAGAAGGCTTCCTTGTTTTCTTCGAATGTAAGCCTTTCATTGGGATCAGTAGTTTTGAGGATGAACCCGCAATAAATGCATAGTGGACTTCCAACACAACTCAGCAGGAGATTCATAGGATCATCACATATCCATTTCACAAAATCTGCAAAACTGCATTGTTGAAAATTACTTGAAGTTCACAGATCAATAGAAAGGTCAGAGCTAGGTAATTGTTCTTTTAACCCTTTCTTACCTGCATACATAATCCACAGCCTTGTTCCACATTGTAAGAATCAGTAAGTAAAAAGTGCAGTTTGGATTACATCAATAAATAGTTTACAAAATGTGAAATCACATTTGAAAATAATTGACAGTAAGGGCAAGTCATGAAAAGCTTTTCCCTCTATAATGGTAGCGTTTCATAAATAACGAGTAGGGAAAAGAAAAATACAGCTTTCTTATAGGGGTAGAAGCCCATGGGTAGGTGCTTGCTACGGTGGCTTGCTTCCTAGTGAATAGCTCTAGGTTATGGATTCCTATTAGTACATTTTGCCAGCACCACCCTGATCCAATGCCAAGCTGCCAAATCCAATACTTCTGGTTTTGGCAGAATGCTGGCTAGTAGAACACTCTGGCCGCATCTCTGCAATGCAGCGCTTATTGCCTGAACACATGTGGGGTGGGAGGTTGCATTGCCATAGTGTAAGTTATGGCTTTGTTGTCTATCAGTAGATCAGGGTAGGGGAAGCACAGGTGAGATTAATAAACACAAGTCTATACATTTCTCCTGTAAAGTGAACCTGTTATTTTGCCCACTTTAATTAAAAAGAAATCCCACTCTCCGTAGTTCACTAACCGAATCTAAGCTTGAACCCCCACTCATGTGCTAATGCATCTCTCTGTGACAGTTTCAGACTCCTCTGGTGTTTATTTGTTTGTCTAAAAACTTCTGCACTGGTTGTGGCTGCACAGTAACACCCCATGAACTTGAATGGGGTTGTACATGTAGGGTCCCTAATGCAGAAGTATGGTTACATTCAAGTCTGTGAGGATTTACTGCAGGCAGTGCTGGAGGAGATTTAACATCTAAGGTTGTACATTTCAGAGGAGTTGAGGAATGTTAGGTAATCATCTCGGTGGGGGAGTTTTAGTTTAGATTAGTTTAGGGGACTAGGAAGAGTGAGCTATTTTTTTTAAAGTAGACTTGTACTTTAACCCCTTTGCTCTGGCACCTCCCGGCCCTTTAAGAGTTTCAGAAGCCGGGAGGCAGCCGTGGTTTCAGGGTCATGTGACTGCCGTGATTCGCTGTCATGGCGGTCACATGATTGGAAAAGGTCTCAATCGCAAGGGGAGATCGGGACCTTTCTGTGAGACATGGACATATGTGCTGGGAGTGCGCAGGAAGCGTGCTCTCAGCACATATGTATTTTCTAATGGCATCAAGGACCAGACGCCGAGAGGCCGCATATTTGCATGCGCTTGGTGTCTAGGGGTTAACTTACTTAAAGAGGATCTATTTAATTGCTTTATAATATTCAAAGCAAACTCACCCATCCATCCATGTCTCTATACTTTATTTTGCTGAGAAATCACTTTGAACCACCATATGTAATGCGCTGTATAAATTGACGGTGCTATATAAGTACCTGAGATAAATAAATTTATATATATTTTCAACCAAGATATCAGTGAAGGTTCTCATTTATCCAGGTCATAGTAGAGCTAGTAGTAGCCTAGTTACTTTCAATAGGACTTGTCTTGTTAAGACAAGTTAAAGATTCACATAACTTTCATCCAAGATTCACACATTTTTCAGATAAACTCATATAATAAAAATGTGTGAAGATTGGGTGAAAGTTGTGTGATTATTAGACAGAAAATTATAAATATTTGTATAATAATAAAATAGACCCCTAATTCTTTTCACCCAGAATTTACACAACTTTTACCCAGCATTCACATGTTTTTCAATTAAATTCAATTAGAAAAGTGTGTAAATCTTGTATGAAAGTTGTGTAAATCTTGGTTGAAAAAAACTAATAAACAGACCTCCAGTGTTTATTTAGAATATGTAAATGTATATTTGTGAGCCATTTTTTGTACAATTGTAACAGAGGCCAATAAAATATGTCCTCAGTCCTATGGTTTCATTTCACACCAATATGTAGCATTGGCATGTAGATAAAAAAGAATGTGTACAGAGTGTATTGCAGTGCAACAAACCTTAAACATACATGTTCACCAAAACACTGTACATGATTGTATAGGAAATAACTATATGGTAAATGCAGTCTAACATTTGTTAGGAGTAAGCATTAGACATCCATTAGCTATAAAACAAACTGCTTTTGTTTGGATTTTTTTTCTCTATACCTGTTATTGCATGGTGAAGGGTGACTACTAATTCTTTTTGAATCAGCTTTAGAAGCATTTTAATGTTTTTTTCTTTTTAAGTATATTATATTAATTGCATGATGAATCGTTAAACAGTTTGCTGCGCTTGCAATTTACCCATTAGCTACTGAGATTAGAAGGGGCTTCCATATGTTAATCGAACTTGAACTGCTTTGAGTGCCAGCTTACAGTTCAGTCCAAATCACTACATGGGCTGTTGCCACAAAGCTCTCTTTTAGGGCTCTGAGGCATACTGCGTATGCCAGAGATGCAGCATATAGTCACTGTAGGAATTCATCATAGCCAACTATGATTTAAGACAAGCCGCCTCTCCAGATATTGCAGGGCGTTTTGCAAATTTCTCCTGGTGAAGTATGTGCTGTCATATAGCCGGCTTACACAGTGACAAGATGGGAATCTTGCCAGGATCCGTATATGTGCCATGTCAAACTACACAGCGGAGGGCAAGAAAAGGGCAACCTGCTATTTGCATGCATGCATGAACAGCATTAAGCAGGTCTTGCAATCATTTTAGTGACATTAAAGGTTTCAGGGTTAAATTAAGCCTTCAAGTTATAAAAGAAAATGAACAATAGAAGTGCAAAGTGTAGGAAAACTAGTCAGCAGTCATGATTTTGTTAACTGACATAAGGTGAAAATACATTACTCCTAATATTTTAATAATTTACACATTAATTATGACGTAATATTTTAATTGCTAAGCATCTACAGCAGGTTACTTTTAAAAATAACATCAGTAATTATAAGATGGGCAGCACAGTGGCTTAGTGGTTAGCACTTCCGCCTGGCAGTACTAGGGTCGTTGGTTCAAATCCCAACCATGGCACCACCTGCCTGGAGTTTGCATGTTCTCCCTGTGCCTGCATAGGTTTCCTCCCACACTCCAAAGACATACAGGTAGGTTAATTAGATCCTGTCTAAATTGACCCTAGTATGTGTATGTATGAATGTGAGTTAGGGACCTTAGATTGTACACCCCTTGAGGATTAGGGACTGATGTAAATGTACAATATATATATATGTAAAAGTGCTGTGTAAAATTGACAGTGCTATATAAATACCTGAAAAAAATAAGGCCAGATATCCAAAACAAGAATGCTTACAAAATGATATATGTTTTGGCTTGTATTCTTTCCCATGTATTGTTCTACTCATGGCATTGTTTAGGTAGAACTATGGTCTACTCAGGGGCAGACTGACCATTCCAGCACTCGGGCACTGCCCGAGGGCCCGGGGTCAGTAGGAGGCCCCATGAAATGCCCCTGGTACCTTATATAGGCTTTTTTTGGGTGTTCTTTGAGTGTGGGCAAGGACACACGGGCCCCATGATCCCCTATTGCCCGGGGGTCCCCATGAGTTATCAGTACGCCCCTGGGTCTACTTTTAAAATTTTAAATAGTCAATTTTGACTGAGAAGTTCCACTTTAAGTACTTACTTACTTAAAGTGCTACTAATTGAAGACTAATTTGTCATTTTCCATCGGTATATAGTAAGGTGCTAGCAGCTTTTTCGTATAAACTAATAGTGGGACATAGAGCACGGGAGGACCATACAGATATAAAGTGTTACTAAACCCAGGACCCTGCATTCACTCTATCTGGTCTTCCACAGTACACAAAACATGGAAGTGCAATTAGTTTAGTAAATATAAACTGCTAAATACCTTTTATCAGCAGTTAGAGCAGTCTTGTGACTCTATCAGTGTCCAGCCAATCACTGATTAAAGCTTATAGGAGGAGTTTTTATTTTGCTCTAGGAGGATGCAGAACCCCTGACCTCTGTCTGGACAGCGCTGATTGGCCCTGTGCTGATCACATGCACTCTCCCAAGAAAAAAAAAAACTCTCTAGCAATACAAACCAAACTGAGCATGTGCAGAGTGACTACACACAATATTTCTTAACAGGATATAAAAGGGGGACATTGGAAGAAGGGAAGAATCAGAGAAGTCAGGATCAAACAGCGTTTTTACAAAATGCAAAGGACTAACCCCTTAGGTTCCACAGTGAGTATAACAAGCATGCTTTACTGTATATACAGACTGATTTTACTGTTGTGGGTTTAGTAACACTTTAAGTACTTTGTATATATGGGCAGCACAGTGGCTAAATGGTTAGCACTTCTGCCTGGCAGTACTAGGTTCTTTGATTTCGAATATAATTTAAAAAAAATGTATCTTTTGCAGCACTTAAATATACCAGGTATGGATATTTTCACATACTGTAGGTAAACTAGCCCAGCTTAAGCATAACTATGCATTTATCATACCTGACCATTTTCTCCAGAAGCTGGAAATCAATATAGTAGGCACCACTACTACAGTGACCTCCACTACCTCTGGGTCCTGTGCCAAGCGGCTGCCCTGCTGCATTGTTAATACAGGAGGTTGGCTGCTGGGCATAGATACCATTAGGAGAATGGTTTGCATTTTCTAAAGAATACAAAGAATTCTCTGATTGAACAAGGTGGAGAGCGTGACATTACCACCCTCCCTCTCCACCTTGTCCAATCAGGAAATGCTTTGCATTCATTGGGAAAATGAATGGTGCCCGTGCTGAGTGGCTGACCTCCTGCATTTAGAATGTTATAGGGCAGACGCTTGGCATGGGACATGGAAGCTAATGGAGATCACTAGTGAAGTAGGTGCCCACTGCAGGGCCTGGACCAATGTAACTACTGTATGTAAACATATCCAAACCTGGAATGCTTCTATAATTGTAACAGAAACTGCACTTACAACTTTCTCTTACTCCCCAGCCAAAGACTCATCAATTCCTAAATAGCAAAACAGTGCAGCGCATAAAATGTCTATCCAAGTAATATTCCAAATCATTGAGTGAAAATATGCAAATAAATATTTTGTAAAAGTGTCAAGTGCAAAAGAATAAAAATATACCGTATATAACAGTCCTTCCAATGTGAATCCACTAAGTGGAATGGTTGTGCCCGAGGACATGCATGTGAATGATACGTGTTGGATGGAGCCTACGTGCTGATGTCATGCCACCATGTCCGTGAATCGGAGCACCGGTCATCTTGGTATGTGTGACCGCGACTGATACGTTCCTTCCACATGGAATATTTTTTATATGTAATGCTTTTATGATTATTAAATTACTACACTACGTATATACAAATTCTAGGGCTCCGTGTGGTGAGCATCTTTTTCCCAAGGTCCAAGCCGGGTCTGTAACAGCACTGGAGAGTGGATAATTAGGATCTCTTAGTGAAGAGTAACAGGCTACTGACCAAGTAGCTTTCTGGTGAGTTCATGGTGGTGGAGGACCACACAGGAGTGGAGCACTTGGTGGATTTGAACACAGTTTGTCTTGGTTGGCACTACAAGCATACAGATTCACATTGGAAGGACTGTGTGAGATACAGATGAAGGATGATTTAACTCAGGGAAGGTAAAGATTTGTATTACTTTGTGTTTGTGTATTACATAGTAAGTGGATTTGAGACCCGTATTAACTGTCACAGGAGCTTTTAGATGTACCTTAAAGCAGACCTACCCTGAGAGATGTTTTTAGGTGCATGCATTAATTAATTTTTAAGTGTAACACTTCAAGATATTTATCACCTCTTACACCCCAGTCACATCCGGTGCGACTTGGAATGCGATTTGCATGCCATGAGACTTACAACGGTGCGATTCCAACTTGGTCAGAGCCACACCGATTTCTAAAGTAGTGCATGCACTATTTTTGGTGCGACTTTCCATAGACATCTGTGTCAGATGTCTTGCAAATCTCACCTGAGACAGGCAAGTCACCCTACTTTGAAATCGGGCTTGATATGACTGGGGGGCTTAAAGAAATGCTGCTTGTGAAAATGTCTTCATCTTCTTTTCACATTTAAAGAATGGAGCATCATTTATGCCCCAAATACACAATCAGAACATCGTGCAAAAAATGCTGCTTTTAAAGCGATTGTACAATAATCTGATCGTTAGTACTCAGCAATCGTCCCAAAAAAATAGAAGAGACAAGCATGAACATTTTATTCCATCGTTAAAATACATTACATTCTTCAAATATTTATTCTCGTTAAAAAGAAATTTCTTTTAGTAACCTGTTCACTTCTGATATGAGACTAGCATGCAGAAAAAAATAAACGATCATTCATCTAATATTCTGATCGTGTGTACAGAGCTTTAGGGCCAACAACTAAATTGTGGGCTAAGAGGCTAGCACAGAGATGACATAGTAAAATGAATCCTGGTGACTGTGCAGTAACCTTTAAATTTTAGGCACATGCTGCCTAAAACAGGCCATGAGTGATGTGATTTTCTTTCCTGCAACAACAGGTTGCAGGAAAGAAAATTTCTTGAATTCCCCCTTTAACACAGCCAGTGTTAATGGGGGAATATCTCTCATGGAGCAATTGTTTTCTCCTGGTGGGGGGGGGGGAGCACAGAGAGCCGTTCCTGCTGGGAGAACACAGTGATCATTACTAGAGGCTATAGCCGCTGGCAATAATCACATGCTAGAAATCTGACATGCTGAACTGTCATCATGCTCTTTGGGGTCAAACTTACCCATACTGAGTACTGAAAGGCCCTCATGTTTTTTGGGGGTCACTTTTTCCCTTCTCACAGCACTGATATTCTCTTTGCTTCTCTTACATCATACAAAGTACTAATGAGTCCTCAGGTTCACTGGGGCCAATCTGCCCTTTATACAGAGTATTTAATAGTCCTCATATTCCTTGGGCTAATCTACAGTAAGCTATCCATGACCTATACATTTCAAATTTTGCATACAGTATTTTACAAAGACTACATAAACATGGTCTGGTACACACAGGACAATATTCAGCCAATATTCACCCAAGTTTACAGGAACCAGGCCCACAGAAGCCGGCCGAACATCTGGCTTCTGTCGAACAGGCATGCTGGAAAAACAGCAGACATTCGGCATCCAAACCATACTTCACTGTACTAACATCGCATAGTTAACACAGCAAGATCCTCAGATTTTTTTTCGTTCAGCTTGCTAGGTTGAACAAAACAAACTGCCTGTGTATACTAGGCACTAGGGTGGTTCATGGACATGATCTGATGGTGCCCAATGTCACATCTTACAGATCTGTGGCATTCTTTGAACGTGACCTTCTGTACTGCACACTGACAAAGTAAATGTGGCATAGCCTTAGCCTATAGATTCTAATCTAATGAGGTTTAATTAAAGCAATTCATGTTAGGCAATTAAAGTAAATCCATGATTGGATGCTATGGATTTTTACAAAATTGCATTTTATTACTAAATTATCAACATTAGCACCATGAGGAATCAATTTTAAAAAGTCACCATTTTGTAGAGCCAACTTTTGCTGTATTCCTGGAAACAGCATATCTTAGGCTTCATTTACACAAGCCTCTTGCATTAGGTTTATTTAGATCCACAAGAAATTATCTGGAAAGTATATCAAATGTTATACTTTCCAGATCAAGTTCACCTGCATTTAAATTTACAGTACCAGAGTTTACATACATTTACACACAATATCTGATTTCCCCCATGACAGAATTCTATTCTTTTTATTGCAGCTAAACTGAATGTCAGACTTAAACTGAATGTCAGACTTAAACTGTAAATGCAAACTGTAAATTATACCATTAAAAGACATTACATGCATTTCATTGTGATTACAAATGTCTTATAAATGCATATGACAGCAGGTTTGTTCATAGGTTTCTTTACAAAATGTATTTATGGATAAGACAAGTCTAGGTCAAAAAAGGTTTATGATGATTTAACAGATTGAAGCTGATCAGTGGTAAAACCCTAACATGCTTTATACCAATGGTCAAATGCTTACAATCAGGAGGTAGGCTCCTTAGCCCTAAGACAAAGCCTAAACCTGTGCTCTATTTCTTAGCCTAAACATTTGCTCTAAACACTAAATCACAACCCAACACTAATCAAGCACATATTCTATAAAAACTAAGCCTAATGTAGCACCCCCCTGACCCCTGGCATCAAGGAGGGCTGACATTTCACCTCAGGGTGCTGGTTTCTAGGCATGGTGGCCATCAATGCACAAATATGGGCACCATTCTTTTTTAGGCTGAACAAAAGTGAGTTTATTGCTCACAATGACAAAATTTAGGGAGAGATGGTTAAGGCACAGGACACCCTGGAACAGTGGGCACACAGACCACCAGACTCCTTAAACAAAAATAGCCAGGCAGGCCGCAGTACAGAAAAAGAGCCTTTGATCTGCACTCAATGTTCTGTACGTCCATAGCAACAGCTGTCTCCTACAGCAACCAAAAATTCCCTGTACCATGCAGGGACTCTTTGGATGAGTCTGTCTTGATGCTTTCCCATTGTTAGGGATCCGGGTA